GAGGGTTCCCTCAAAACCCCTTAACAGCATTTGTCACTTTCAAGAGGAACCAGCAACTGTGACATCCCAACATTACACATTTTTCAACACTACATTTGCAACAGTGAAATTGAGAACATGGGAACCAAAGCAGAATTCAACATTTCCTCTCTCCCTCCCTCTCCAGTATACTGTAGGAGCCCATAACAGCTTCTGGGTTTGAGGAAAATGAAAATTCTACTGTAAGATTAGTGCCCCGAGTCCTGAAGAAAACTTTATGATGCAGGTTCACAGAAGCAGCACTAACGTGAGACTATGTAGCTTTTGTAAAACAAAAACATCTGTATTTCTAGTAGCAAGTGAAAAACGTAAATGATATTAGCACAAGCAGAAAATGCTCCGTCAGTTACGTAGAGAGCTTTAAAGCACTAACATGGACAGTAGTGTAGTTATGAAAAATTAAAATCAGTTTAACCATGATTTCTGAACCTAGCATGGTGTTGTTAGTTTACTGCTTTTGAGCCTTTGAATTCAGTAGACACGGGTAAAAAAGACCTGAAATTTATTTACAGTCTCTGGTCCAAAGATCAGCGGAGAGGTGTCAGATTATTGCACTTACTTTGCTCCAGAGCCGAGCTGCTTGAGGATGCTCAGAGACTGCCGGAGCATGCTGGCAGCGGAGCACAACCAGCTTCTCTACCTGACCTTCTCAGTTTCCCTCGGCCCCACAAGGTATCCTGCTCCAAAAATGTCCACAGAGTCACCGTGTTACTTCATTAGGAGGTGGTGGTTCACATGGGCCACTCCGTCTCTCAGGCCGTTATTTCTGGATGTTTGTGTGTGTGTGTGTGTGTGTTGGCTGTCAGTCTTTGTTCTGGTTTCAGAAGAGTGCCGTTAAGTCACTAACAAAAGTCAGTGAATGAGGAAGTTGCACAGATGAAGTGTCAGCTGCGAAGGGGGAAGAGATTTTTTCAGGTTTGACTGTCACTACTATCGAACAGTTAACTCATAAAACCATTACATGCAGTCAGAGGACAATGGGTGATATGGTATTAACCCTGAGATTACAAAGGTGTAATGTAAGATAAACCTTTTATTCTGTTTTCCAAAAAAACTAACAAACAAAAAAAACCAATTTCCTCCAACTGTATGAGGGCAACTTCTTCTCTATACACTAACTGTTAAAAAGGATGTGAAAAGACCAAAAGAGGAAATTACGGTGCTGGATCTAACAGTATCGTTCTAAGTTCAAAAATTCTTGTCTGGCTAGTTTGACTCCTCTAATGTTTTGTTAAAGTTGGGCCCTTTCAACATTTTTTAAATCTTGCTTCACATTATTTGTTCCCTGTCATTAAGGTTTTTGTTTTGCCTTTAACTTGTCAGATTCTTTTTAACCACTTGGGTTGATGTGAGAAAACTTTAATGAACACATCACTAAAAATACTATCACCTTTTTATGCTTAGCTGGACTTGTTACCAAAGAGATGCTAATTTACAGACCCAGCAGATACTGGTGCAACATTAACATTACCAAATTGTGTCTCCTCACCTCCTGAATGTAAGTCCAGCATTAATAAAGTTAAATAAGTGTCAGCTTGTAACTCAAACTAAGATTTTAAAAGTTAATACATTATAAAATGTGTGAAATATTGCTGGTTCAAACATTTGAAAAAAGATTGCTCCTCTTAACTGTTTCAAATGTTTAAAATGTGCTTTGCAGATATTCAACGCTCTTGTTTCATAACATCTGAAACTAGAAAAAGGCCAGTGCTGACGGATCTGGGCGGGAACTATCTGCCAACACACTCAGCCAATCAGATAACAGGGACCCATCTAAACATGCTTCCATTGGTCACACAGGATGTGAAGCGATTTAAAAGGAGATGCATCTGTTTTACAAGTTTCTGGATGTAATGGGAGGCGCTTACCTGAGTCGCATGCCTGTCATTACACTTTCAAGCCATACTCTTCTCCATAACCTCTGACTTAGGATAGTAGAAAATATGCATCCCATCTTAAGGTCATCAGGAGCTGCAGACTGATGCTCTATAGAGGTTGACCCCAGTCCAGTGCTGCACTCTAGTGGTGACATCAAAATGCACACAACAACAACAACAACAGGATATCCTTTTTTTTAAAATAAGTCACATAATGCTAGTTGAAATATTTGCTGGCAGTTACAATTTTGATGTGAAACACAACACAGCCATTTATCTATTAACAAATTTATTGTTAAAAATGACTTCAAATACATAGTGGCATTCATTTTTTTTCCTCACATGATGTGGTTTCACCAGTTTGTTTGCTAGGCTTCTTTCAAATTATAGGGAACACTGATCATTTCCAAATCCACCACATACTGAGTTACCAGTTTATCACGTACACCTGCGCAGGCTAAACTATATTTTAAAACAAACCTGCAGTAATTCCTTTGTAAAGTTGATACTGTTTCAGAGCTGCTGTTAGTGCTGCTGATGTATAGGACTGCATTAGCTAATAAACACAGTGTATGTTCTTTGTAGTGCTTCAGTTACAGGAGAAAGACAATGAACTGGTCTTGTGTAAACATCAACCAGGAAACAAAAGACACAGTCCCTGCAACAGAACAACAGAGGATCCCATTAGAGACAAGGCAAGGCCACAGTCACCGAGGCAGTTAGAGACAATGCATTACAGTACATACGTTTAACTTAAAAAACTTTTTAAAGGTAGTTCAAGACTATCATCTTGTTCGTTTCATTTCAAATCTATTGTGGTGGTGTATAAAGCCAAAAATGTTAGAATTGTGTCAATGTCCCAATATTTATGGACCTGATTGTATTCCTAACGCTTTGAGCAAAGGATTACAAAACATTCTGAACTGACACCAACAAGCTGACTCAAGAAAGACGTGTTTTAATCTGGTAACAAGATCCATGGCACAGCAAAAGAAACGAAAGAAAGATTTTTAGCAGTTCCTGGATATGTTGTGGCAGCTTAAACAACTAATTCTTACAAATCTGTAAAACGCTAACTGAAAAAAGGGGCTCAAAACAAGGCAAAACCAACAGTGGGGCAAGGATAGAGCTGGGAGGAAAGACATATTCTTGCCTGTCATTGTACCACTCAGCTGTTCATGAAATGTGTAACTGCATGCTGATCCAAAATTAATTACCTAACTACACAGTACATGTCCTTTATGTCAAATTTTCCTCTAAATAGTGTTCGTTTCTCCAGCATTCACTTATTTGCTTTCTTATAAACCTGGCAACATGGTAGGAAAAGTAAAAAAAAGAAATGTTCATGCACACTCACTTTAACCTCTGGTCATTACATAAATATGTGTTAGGAAATCATTGTAAAATGCAAGAATCAGAAGGAATGGAAATAACTTTAGCGGGTTTAGAAGTAAATCTGTGGTGGGCTGGGTAGAGTAAAGAGGCAGTGAAGGACTTGGAAAACCTGCAGATGTCTCCTCCTGAGGTATTTAAATACAACTAGAGGCACCCCAAAGGTTGCACTCCTCTTCATCTCACTTTGCTCCACCCGGATTCCCTGTCATGACCACACTGTCGTGGAAGACCCATGCCCATAAAATGAGGAACAGGAGCCCAGTAGTATCCCTGATCTGACGCCACTTGTCTTGGTCCCTCTCCGTGCTGCCCCTCCGTTTCACCATCCCTCTGAGACTGAAGTGCGTGACGAATCTTTCAGATGGAGAACTAGTGCTTTGCTTTGGCTTCTTCAGCTTCTTTTTCTGAGAAAACAGAAGCAACATGAAGAATGGTGTGCAGCTTTTCATTTCATAATGGTACCAACGATCTTTAAATTGGCAAAGCTTGCATTATGTCAAGATATTTGTTGCTCAACTAAAACACATTTGTATTTTCTAGCTTTAAATGTCAGGACACTGTGCAGACAGCTGGTGTTCAGTACATAATGAACAATCATTTCACTATGAACTGAAAGAAAATGTTCAAACTAGCAAGAGGGACGTTACTACTGAATCACAGACAATGAGAATCAGAAGTGGCACAATCAATTCCTGTTGTTTTAACTGATGTACGTTTTCAGTGCTTAGAGACTTCTGAATAAAACTGTATGAATGAAACATTTCCACCTCTAGTATGCAGTATTTCATCTCACCTCTCCTGAGCTGTTCTCTCTTCTTGGCAGCTTCCTCCCTCTGCTTCTTGATGATGGCCAGTCTGGCCAGGTCAGCCCTGGCCTGCTCAGTCTTCCCCTCTAGATGGAGCTTCATGTAGCGTTCCTTTGATTTCTGCTTCTCTATTTCCTCTCTGAGAACACAAAGATAAAGAGTTGAAATAAAAACCTCATGCCACAAACCAGGGTTCTGACGATGTTTCATTCCAGAAGAAAACAAACAAAATAAAAGCATACAAACATTCCTGACTGAATGACATTTACCTCTCCCTGCGAGATAGCTCTCTGGGAGCACTGACATCTACTTCAGTCACCTTCTTGTCCTTCTGAGACGCGCGGTTTGGATTCTCGATCTCTATAAGCCCCTCCACTCCACTCCTCCTTCTGGACTGTGTGCAAAAGGAAACACCTTTAATCACATCACTGTTAACAATGTTACATTCACCATATTTAAAGCTACAATGGCATTCAAGAGCTACATAAACATAAGCAAGGCCAAACAACTGTAACTAGCTGCATGTCTTTGGACTGTGAGAGGAAGCCAGAGTACCCGGAGAGAACCCAGGCAGGCACACTCCACATAGAAAGGCCCCGGATCAGCACTATGAGATGACAGTGCTAACCACTGCACTACCATGCTGCCTCTCTAACCAATCAGAAATGTTCAGTTATTTCTGATTGATCAGCAGGTTTTGATGCATTCTCACTTAGTGTAAGTTCATAATGACAAGTATCTGAAATGCTGGGTAGCTTGATAGAGTGCAGCAGATCATAGTGGAGCTGGGAGAGGGAGCGCTGGGCAGAGCAGGGGGCATTGATTTGGCTTTTCATTCTAGTGCTTCCTTACATTACATATTGTAGCTTTAATCTGTGCATTGTGAGCACAAAGTTCTCTGGGCTCACTTGACTTTTAGTCACTGTGTTTTGCCCTCTTAGTCTTTTGCATATAAGAGCAGAACCACAAGCAATCTGTCAAAATATAGGCTATACATTCATTTCTAGCTACACTAGTCAATATAGTTTTTACCTAATCAAGTCAGAAAGAATTTACTCCCAGTGACAATAAAGCAGTTCACTACTCAAGCCCAAATTATACTTATTGCATCTGCATGTTTTGTCACTTGCCCACACAGATCCACAAGCAGCCCAACATTTATCACTTTGCCAACAAGCGCTTATGAACACGCTGACGTATCCAGACACCAACACAGTATCAGTTTGTGGATACCACCTGTCCCTTCACCCACCTCAGACTCATCATCACTGCTGCTTTCTTCCTCAGACTCTGAAGAGCTCTCTTTCTCTGCGTCACCATTTTCTTCCTGTTAACATAGATATATAAAAATTACACTACATCTGACTTCAAACTAAGTAGCTCCATGTGTGGCACACAATTCTTCTGCTCACCTTCTCTCTCTGTGCTCTCATCTGTCGATCAATCTCCTCTGGGTTGCTGAATTGCTTTCCTCTCCCCCTGTGGCTCTTTCTCCCTGCAACAAAAATAATCTATGTCAATGGCAAATCAACTGTATGGAAATGTATCTTTCTACAAATACACATTGCATCACATGCTGAAAGGTGGGCATAAACAGTAACATCAGTACAGCTACTCTTCAAGTACTAACTTAATAAAGCTTTATGTTGATACTGGCAAAATTAACAGATCCAACATCAAAAGAGTAATGCTTGATCTTCCAATGCCAGCTGAGGTTACCTGGATATTTTGGTTCCACCACCCACACTGGAGTTGTAGATTAGAAAAAATAGATTGAATCATCCTAGATAATTGCACACTGTCATGGTCTTTTACCAGATATACAGACTATAATGATAGTCAAAACTAGGATCACATAGTTTCTTAATTTGTATATAAAGTAACTCTGCAAAGTAGTAATAAGGCAGGGAGATGGAAGGCAAAAAGTAGTTGACAAATGAAATGCATAAGTAAATGTTTAAGTTAAAATTGAAAACCCAATTTAACACATACTTTCTACCATAACTTGGTCTATAATGAAGACTGAACCCTGAAACGTTCAGGCAAGATGCACAGTATAACGGCCTGTCATGCCCTAAAAGATGATCCAGATCCAGAACAAGGATTTTAGGACACATTTTGTGTTGCTCTGAATCTCATTTTTCACAAGGGACCCATTTGCGTGAGTGAATGTTGTGCCTAGGCACTGGTACATGCGCCCTCTCTCTGTGCTCTTGTTCATTAAGAATTTGCTTTTGAAACATGAACTACAGGTTTTAGGTGAGGTACAGTATATTCTTTTGCTGATTAACTATATATAATGTGTATAAACTTGTGACGAATGCATATTAAGCTTTGAGAATAGTGATGTTTCAAGACCTGAGCCAAAGCTATTGAGAAAAACCTTAATGGTATGCTTCATATCAAATAATTAGCTCTAATTTAAAGCACACATGAAAAAGGCTGGCTGTGAATGGCTGGACAAACTGACTCTTTCCTAGATTATTAGGCATCTCTGTGTAAATACAGTTCTGGTCCGTCCAAACCTGTATTTAATGTTCCCTACATAGGATCTCACACTACTACAAATTGCGAAAATAGGAAGCGATTGTGAATGGAAAAATGAGTCACAATGACGTTTGCTGTGGGCCAGCTCTCTTCATACGCAAGTGTCATGGCTAGTGAGTGTTGCATAAGAACGTATATGGGGGGAAGCCAGATACATGGCTAGCAAATATTTTTTTAGTGCGTTTGTAAACGTTTCTGTTAATAGGGACAACCGCCAGCAGCTGGGATTTAAAATAAACGGCATAATAAATATGTTTAAGTGAGCCGAAGCGCTCTCTTGTGCACATAGTAACTTAACTGTTGCTTAGGCACAAACAGCAAGGTTTTAATCCAGTTTTATATGCTGGAATTACCACAAAAAAACCTGCCATTTCCATTCACGCGAATACCTGTATTTATCACTTCACTGATACAGTCACCGCTTCTTTCCTGACCCACTCGTACCTACACACCCTGCTAGCCGGTTAGCATGCTAAGGCATGTGAGTTCAACGGGAATTCATACAACTAAAGCTAACAATTCACTAGCTAGAATTAGCTTGGTAAAATTTAGCATGCTATGTTAATTTTAATAACAGTACTTACCACCCCGAGGCATTATTAAAATTGAGGTTTGTACAGATAAAGTCCTTTACTGTGTCGCTGATTAAAAGCCAACAGTTTAAAATGCCGGAATAAAAGGATTAAAAAAAACTACACGCCTCGTGCTAGCGGTACTCACTCGGGACACTGTGCGCACGCGCAGTTAGGACTGTTCAACCAATCGTTGCACTATTTGACTAACTTGTGAACACCAATTTATGAGTAGCGAGTAAAGCTCATTCATAAAGGCCATACCTTTCACTGACATGAGTACTTCATTGGTTTTAAAAGTCTATTAGGCTATATTAGCAGCAAAATCTCTTATTTGACATTCAAAATTACAACTCACAAGAGTTGTAAATATGTCCATTACATCAGAGTATTGGTGATATTAGCATGCGGTGGAAAAAATATAAGACAGACAAGTACAGACAGAACATGATCGTGATCTCACAATCGCCGTCTCATAACTATGTTGTATAAATAATTGCTCAAAGCCCATTACTGAGTTGTGAGTAAAGGCTTTGCAAATAACTGGTAAGAGGATCTTATAATAAAATCTTTATTGTCAGGAATAAAATTTCATATTACTAGGATTATTTATGCAACAATTTATACCCAGATATTGTATGAAGCTGGATGAACAATGAAAACCATTAACGAAGTGCTCTCCTGTTTAGGTTTTACCCATTTTGTTTTGGGTTATTTGGATGTCATTCAAATCCTCACCTATATATCTGCCTTAATATAAATATCTTATGTATAATCAAGGTATTACAACTCAAAACTGGGAATGATAAAACAAGAAAAACAGCTTTACTCCTGTTATGGATTTTACTTGTTACCGCAATAAAAAATATACAGCCTATAGTACTCTACCATATCAATGGAAAAGAGATAGAAAATATGTTATATGCTCAACAAATGTGTTCACAGTTTTGTCAGGTCTGACTGGGGTAAATACAAAAAGGGCTAATTCCAAATAACATTTCCTAGCCAAAAGCACACAGTAAGTAGAGATTTGTCATGACTTCCTTCGATGTTGAGTCTTTACATCTTCCACTTCTTTCTCCAACAAGTGGTAGTCTACTGTAGTTTCTGTCAACTAGAAAGGAACAGCTTTGGTCAGATATTAAGTACATCAACCACAGACTTAGTAATTAATTCCATCCATCCGTTATCTACACAACAGAGCAAATCCCAGCTGACATTGGACGAGAGGTGGGGTATACCCTGGACAGGTTGCCCATCTATCACAGGGCTGACACTTAGACAATCACACACACCCACACTCAATCCTACGGGCAATTTAGAGTCACCAGTCAACCTAAGCTGCATGTCTCTGAACTGAAGGAAGTTGGAGTACTGGAGAGAACCCACGCAGGCACAGGGAGAATATGCACACAGAAAGGGCCTAGGTCAGCCTGGGCTTGAACTCAGAACCGGTCACAATACACTTTCCTGCATCACTGTGTAAAGATGCATTATTGTATCTTCTAACTGGAAATAACGAGAGCATTTGAAAGCTACACAGTTCTCACCATGTCCAAGAGAAGTTCAATCTTCAGTTTCAGGAGGTTATTCTCCTCCTCCAGCTGTACATTTCTTTTTTTAAGCCGCTGCACTTCCCGGCTAGATGCATTCCCACCAGATTCTGGTTCAACAAAAGCATTTAAAAAATTAATTAATGCTGTGTTGGAGATTCAGAGATGACCAGTGATCTAGGGGATATAGCAAAACATGAAAGAGTTAGGTTGGTTAGGTTCTCTGCACTTTAAAGCTGAGGCAGCCACTGCGATTGGTCTGTATTCAACATTATCAAAGCCATTACCGGTTATCCACTGTCCATCCTCAAATTTCCAGCTCTGACCTCCAATGTTCATTACAGGCGGTCCATACTCAAGGCCCAGCTCTATTTCTCTTGTTGAACGATCCAACTAAAAGAAACGAGAAGGGTAAACAATAAATCTGTCTGCCTTGCACACGCTATGAGCTACCACAATGTAAAGGTTTGCACCATCCACATCTCAGCTTTCTCACAACTCTGCTTTTGAGTGATCACTGTGTATGTAATAAGGAATCATTTACCAATATTGGTTTTATATGAACGTAGCGCGCACCACAAGAACAGTGTCTTTGTCACAGGAAGGTTACTAAAAAGCAGTAAGTAGCAAAACTCACGGTATGAAGGCTGGACAGAGATGCAGATTTGCGAGGGGGCGTCTTCTTCGGACTGAATGTGTTTCCAAAAAGTGGCATCCTCAGTGATTTTTTAAGATCCTGTATAAAAGATTATACACAAATGGTAGCATTAATATTTTTAGACAGCCTACCAGTATATCACCCAACACAATATTTGTTTATGGTTGCTAACGGTAGCTACATTACCGCGCTAACGCTAAGGGGCTAACACCCGCTAACTGTGAGTACTTCTCATACCTGGCATTAAATTGAAACTGTCGACTGCCTCACAGATGGGTTAGTAGTTGTTGTGTCACTGAAAATATATAGGCAATATATTTACCTCCATTTAGACTACTATTTAACCCAAATTCTTATCGTGATGCTCGAAATTGTTTGCTCTCCAAGCAAAACAATACTTTCTACTGCGCAAGTGTGAAAGTTCCATTTGACTAAAGTAGACAAGTCTGAAATATTACATGGCTTCACAATAAAGCAGCTGGAAAGAATTTTCCAACGGCAGAAACTTTGGGACATTTTAAAAGCAAGTAGACCAGTGTATGTTTTACTTATGGCATTTTGTACATTTCAATGCTCATTGCTACATTAGCACAACATAAATACACCTATTTGAGAGAAAAAATGGAACCAGCCATGAGACGTAGACGCATCACCATGGTGATCGCTTCGCTGGGCGGTTTACGGTGTATTGTCATGTCCTAACCAATCTTTCGATTAACCTAAATAATTAATTCCACAAACTTCACTCGTAAATACCAACACTGATGACATAAAAACCAAACAAACAAAATGAACCCAGGTGTTAAATATGATATAAATGATAGTGATATAAAAGCCAACTGTATAGCCCCAGTGGCCTAATGGATAAGGCACTGGCCTCCTAAGCCAGGGATTGTGGGTTCGAGTCCCATCTGGGGTGAATCTTTTCTTGTGGGACAACATGTGTAAATTGATCAATCATGTTTGAAGCGACTTAAACAAGCAACGACAGAAAGAAGACCGGCGTTTTATGTGGAGAAACGTTATATCGGCGACGCTCTCAAACCTCTGGATGTGGCATTTTGGATATCTGGGCAGGTTATGGAGGTATCATCTTACAAAAGATGAAATCACCTTCTTCCTGGCCGATTACCTGGAGGTTTATTTCACTGTGGGGTAAGTGTTACCGCATTAGTGATTAACATGCAAAATAACATAAATATATGTCAAATAAAACTGAGTTGGACAAATTCACCAGAAAACAACACAAAATTAAGTTTGCATTATTATATGTTGACCTTTCTGTCCTTTTACTTTAAAATACATTTAAAATACGTACTTTACTTATATTTCTTTACCTAGAAATATCTATTCTAAATTCAAATACTTGAGAAAGGATGAGAGTAGCATTAATTGTTATAATACTAACAAAAAACTGAATAGGTCTTAGAAATGTGTCACATTCATAAAATGTTAGACAATGCCTCATTTTTATTTTGTATGAAAGACAAATATATTTACTATTTTGACAAAATAACTAGTAACTGTAATAGTAAGATTGTGCTTACTGACAAATCTGTTGGAATTTTCACTGTTCTTATTCTTTGCAGGCAGATGTTCAATCATTACTCAAATATGTACCCTCAACTTATAAAGGATGAGAAGGTTTTGAATCCCCTGATTTTTGAGGTACAAAGAAACCAATAAAGAAACTGTCATGTTTTAAAGTAATAAATAACTGAGCTATTATCAGCTTCACCACTGTCAGAGCTGTGTCATATCTGTTAAACATCTATCCTAAATGCAAAAAAGGACATTAATGCATACAGTGATAATCCTGAACCTAGCTGCACAGTGGGATCTGGTAGCAGAGTGGAGAAGTGAATGAATGCTGTGGATGCCAGCATAGCAGATACTGGTATGTCATTATGTTAAAAGGTCACTTCACACTGAAATTGATGTTTTTGTTTTTCTTAATTAAAAGCCACAATGTGAAACTTGTAAATGTAATTGTCTCAGGACCTGTAATCACTTTTTGCACTGCTTATCAATCAGCTTTAATAAGTTTTGAGCAAGCTTATCAGTTCAGCTTGCATAGTTTGAGCATCTCACGCAGAATTTACGTCCGGCACCCATAAATGTGTCTTGTGTGAAGAAGAACAGGGAGTGTAGCACCGGGAGTGTGGCGGCCCCACTCAGTGTCAAGGTCTTGCTGTCCTTTTGATGTTGCAAAGGCAGCTGGAGAAGGAATGTGAGTTGTTAAATGTAAGATAACAGTATGAGTTTCATGGATGTGTATTGTATCACTTTGGTATAAAGGGACTGCCCCTTTACCAGTTAGTTAGAGAAACTCTGTGCATCTGGAAAGCTGTGTATGATTTCTCTCCATGCATGAAATAAAA